TCAAAAACTGTCACTTTTGGTTTTCAGAGATAGAATTAGCTTAACTTTCAGATCCTGCAATTTCTTGAGAGAAGTTTTTAAATATTTGCCTTGTCAGGAAGATATTGTACGTCGATAGTACAACTCAGGAAGTTTTGATTTGTGCATTCTTAAATCAGTCAATATTTCAGATCATTTCATTACTAATTTCTAAAACGCGTAAAAATAAACGGCTGTCTAAATCCTCCCAAAACAAACTAAATAAAATTTCGTGGCGATGACATAATAAAATCTATTCAATTAAAAGAATTTTTCAAAATTCACTTTTATGACGATGAAACTTGTTAAGGATAGACTTCGTAACAACAAAAGACATTTAGCTTTTCTTTAGCACGAGTTTCTCGTATTGGCGCGTCAGTATTTTCGTCACCTAGCGCGCTTAGAGTGCCTTCAAAACCACATGCATACTTCAATCGTTACACCTCACATCGCTGTCGTTTCTCCACATTATTCGGCCGGCGCATTCGTCTCTGCAGCTTTTAGCGGTCGTTTTAGTTTCTTGCTTCACATTCCGACAGTTCTCGAACCAAGTAAAAATCTTCATCTTCTAAAATTACTTTTTTTATTACGTATTTTTAGACAACCTTTCATCATATTTCATCCCATAGGGAAGGGCATAATACTTCCTCATATAGACTGATTGTGAGTTCGAGTGCTGAGTTGAATGGATCCGATTGCCCTTAATTTAACTAATCAATACATTAGCTTTCTTTGGAATACGCCTGAGAAATTCTTTATTGAAAGTGCAAACCTGAAAATTGCTCGTTATTTCCTCTTTTGACCTGTTAACTCACATGTCGCAACATTTACATGTCATAGCTCGTGAGTCACTTGCAACACACTAATGAACATACATCTGTAGCTTTTTACTGTTTTCTGTGGCAAAATATTCCAAACAAATCAACAATAACAAGGAAACAATCAGAACTGTACGAACAAATACCCAGAGACCTATAGTTCTGTGCTGAGTCCCGTCTCGTATGCTGCGAAATGTGGCGTTGACGGAAGTGCAAGAGTTGAAGTATCCACGCACTTTTGAAGGCGCTTAGCATGTTTGTGGTGCTTCTTCAGTTACTATTAACTGATTTATTATGCGGTTGCACTCAGAAACGCGGGTAGGCGTATTGTTAATATCAACACCTAGATTCAACTACATATTTCTACTCATTGGATGCCCCTTTTGCATATACAAAAGCATGAGAGATTATTAAGCGAAAATGAAGTCCTTACCTTTGCGTGACCGTGAAAGGGACCTGGAAAGAACCAAAAAAAAATGTATCGTCAGCTTGCATAAGGATAATATTTAGACACGTACATGAGGTGGAAATGGTTTATTTTATATATTTTCTCCACCTTTTCTATCTGGAAACAAATCACTAAAAACGTGAGTTTTTTTCTTCTTTTAAAATCTTTCTTATAAAATTCAAAACTTTTCCCAAAAAGCTGCTTGTTGCATGTCTTGCTATGCAATCTATGTAGTTTAATAATGAATTTTCATAACTTTTATAAATTTGTCTTGAATTATAAGCAAAAGCGTTTTGCAAATGTATCGATGTAACTCTACTTAAGCTTTGCCCAACATTATAAGAGTTTCGTCTCTTAACTTAAGAATATGAGACCTGAAAAATGATATATTTATTTCAATATGCATATATTTTCAAACGCAAAAATCAACTGTTGTGCTAACGCACGCACGCTTTTGCGTATGTCCATTGGGGCGATGTTTTAAAATTTCCGATTCTACTTTATTTTTTCGTGGAGAAATAATTCAACTTTACTGCTTGAAATTTTCAGAGAATATTCTGCTAACGGAGATGAAAAATCGAAAAAATGTTCAGGACAAAAAATGTAACTAGTTTCCCGATGAAAAAATAAACTATGATTGGAAGTCTGCGACGTCAGAAACGGAGATTCGTGGTTTCACACTTTGGTCGTCGATACAGTAGCTCCTCTAACGAAAGGGGGTAACTCAATTTTTTGGTGTGCCCTCTCCTTCGTATAACTCTATACTTGCCGAGGCTTATGTTGAAGTTGAAGTAGAGATACGCCCATACGTCAGAGAAGCGACGTTTATGAGCAATTTGACTCAAAGTTGGAGGATAGAAGTGAATACGTATATCCTGATTTAATTGCATAGTCTCAGGATTCCCAGGTACAATATTAATAATTGGACTGCGTTCCAAACTAAAAGGTACATAGCAGCTGTAAAACGTTCTCTCTTTTTTGCGCATGCAATATATCGGGATATCGGATGTCCAATGAGCGGGAATATCTACATCCAAGCGTTACCAACTGAAAGAGCAATGATATCCTGAACGCCTTCCATTTTTTGCATGGGCAACATGGAAACCCAAAGAGCAGGAATAATTACATCCAGACTTGAACGATACCAGTTGGAAATGGAATGGCACCTTAAACGCCTTCGCTTTTTTGTGTATGCAATAGGTGCAATCCAACGAGTAGGAATATGTAGCTGCATCTAGGTGTTGCCATCAACAATATGCCTGCGTCCCTATACGTCGCACCGCATCGTTCAATTAAAACATCAATTGAAGGCACCTGGTATATTGTCGTTCCCCTCTCAAGTAGATGAAACTATAATTACCTAATCAATGTCTCCTTTGATGAAAATAACAATTTATTTCGCCCAGCAAATTCCTAACGAATGGCACTAATTATTTTTCTTTTATTCCTCAAGCTAAGGTCCAGACCAAGTGGGAGAGTTAAAGGCACATTTTTTTTTAAAAAAATTGAAGAGCGACTCCCGGAGTCTCTTTCATTCCAGCAAATGTGCCCTATAATGTTCCTCATCGGAATTATGCCAGAAAAGCATAAATAACGCTAATGAGACGTTTTCTCTGAAACTTACTTCCTTCAGGCGGCTGCTGTGGCTAAGAAGTTAAGTTGAGCCAAATTAAAGTTTTCAGCCTGAGTCAGCGAAGTTTGACTGCACTCAGTCTCTGAGTCTTGAAAAGGGTAAAAAGGAACCATTCACGCTCTGTGAAACAAACTGCAGTTAACTGACCGATCAGTGAAAGTAAAATTTTCGAAAACCGGAGGAAGGTCGCTTCAAAATCTTGGTCAAGGACATCAGATTCGTTCATTTTCGAGGTGTAATTGTCACTTTCCCTCCTCAAAATTATAAAAAAGGCCTTTTTTTAATGAGCGCGATAAGAATACAGGATGTGACAGAAAAGTAAGAAGGAAATTACGCATAAATTTTATTTAAGAATACAGATGACTCTAATCGTAAGATTACGTTTTCAACTGACTTTCTGTTTAAAAAAAAGTTTTAAAAAACTAACAAAACCTCCGTATCGCGTTTGGCGCCTTTCTCCTAGACTGGTCGATATAAAAAACTGCTTCTTACATCATACGTCAGGCGGGTCCTGATAAGTACGCTTTCTGTACCTCTGCTGAGCCCCACAAAAAGTTACGAACAATCCTACCTATAGTCCCCACTTTGAAAATGCCCTTGCAGTTAGACTTACAATTGACTCAGAAATGCGTTTAGGCATACTTTAAAATGCGTAAAAAAGGCTACTTTATCTGAAGAAGAACCAGAAACAAGCAAAGTAAGTTGAGTAGTACAAAGCTGAATGTCTCCTATGATGCAAAGTTCGTGAAATTTCTTCTACTTTGTGAAGAAACTTGACAGTTTAGTGTACGCATTTTTAAACGAAAAACTATTTGATTAAGAAGAAAGACGATCCTGTAAAGTCCGCACTCACTCTGTAATATCGGTTTATTCCAGTATAGAAAAAGTTGCACAATTTTAGCAACAATGAGATGCGTTTGTCCCCTGTCTGCTAACCTCGGTCCAATTACTGCTCTAGTGTTGTTCACTCGTGGAAAAAGAGCGTTATTAAAAATTTCAATCCCGTTAAAACTGACACGGAAAACACCGGATAAAATCGTCACGTGAACTCTCACTCAATATCGGCACCCCCCGTAATGATTCGTAACTCTGACAAAAACCTCAGCCATGCAGCTTTATGTAATTCGGGGATGGCCTCTCTCGGAATGGGCCTGTTGCAAACTTTTGCTAGAGCAAAACTAAGAGTTGTTTCCTGCAGATAATGCCTCAAAAATCACGATGAGCGCATCGGCAAAGTCTGAAATGCACTCATAACTTCACAATCTGCGTAAGAAATTTGCGGTTTTTTGAGCTTCCCGCTTCGAAAACGATACTACGGCACAGGTGAACATTTTGTTAGAGGAGTCGTTCCATCGTCGGCAATACTCATCATGGCCGACGACAATCCGCCAAAATACCTGTGATGGGACGAGATATAACACCTGAACAGGATTAGACCAGATAACAATCGGCGTGTTTACGTTCATATTTTCCTCGCCCGCCTTGATTGACCTTGAACTCTCCTCGAATTACGCGCAAAACTGCGCGCAAGTGTCGGCCATGATGAATATCGCCGACGATGGAGCGACTCTTCTAACAAAATAATCACCTGTGCCGTAGTATCGTTTTTGAAGCGGGAAGCTCAAAAAAACGCAAATTTCTTACGCAGATTGTGAAGTTATGATTGCATTTCAGACTTTGCCGATGCGCTCATCGTGATTTTTGAGGCATTATCTATAGGAAACAACTCTTATTTTTGCTCTAGCAAAAGTTTGCAACAGGCCCATTCTCAAATGACCTGTCAATCCCCGGTTTCCATTACACACCAGCGTATCGCGCGTACGTAAAAAGCCGGTAAACATGATTTTTTAGCCTCACCCTCGATCTGGCCTTACACTAGCTTCGAGGAAAAGTAAATAGACTCGACGAGAGACGTTTGCCTTCTCTTTTTTTGATCTTGAAAAAAAGTAAAAACATTTTACACGGAGAAACTGATTAAGAAGCAAGCCTACTGATAAGGTTACATTCATTCCGATAAGACCCTTTTCGGGTCAAAGTTGAGACGAGCCGGGTTACTCAGCACCGATTCATTACATCATGATTATCCAGATTTTCAGTTACTCATCGGCAGTCCCACCAGTTACACCTCTTAGGAAGGTAAGCTTCACCTCAGTCCAGCTCCAACATTTGTATCTCTTTCAGTGCGCGTTCGCGGCATGGTTCTGAAAAACTGACTAAAAGATAGAATACCCATAGTAGGTAAGTAGTTGTGAATCTCCTTCCTTAACAGTACTCATCTCGAGGAATAGATCTGCGCAACAGTATAATTTCTCGCGTGTTTACAATAAGAGTCTCTTTTTTCAAATGGTTAATTTTTAGGATTGTGCTTTCAAAGTAATTGAACAAAAGTATAGCATAATTATCCATTCGATTTATTATTGGCTAGAAAACTAATATACTATTACCATAAACTTAAACTTCAATATCCGTAACCAAGCATTAACCTCAAAATAACTCCAGAGTAAATCAACTTGTTTACTTTATTTTTACCTTGTTGCTGCACACCGTATGCTGGGTTAGATTTAGCAGCATTTTATGCGTATCAATAAAAAGTAAGGTGCGATATGATGAATATTGTGACATACTATGCGCACATGGATCAGCCCTTTTTTTCACATTTCATCATCGAACTTTATAATATTGATACCTCAAAATATTTTCCTCGAGCCTTTTTTATCGTAAAGTTGAGTGTGATCATATCATATACGCAGCTTATCAGAAGCACTGTCTTTTATATGGAATTCTACAGGAATTTCCTCTGCAAAAGCGAAAAAAATCACGTTTGTTTTTGCGTGTTTCAAATATTTGACGCAGGACTGTTGAATTCTCATTTTTGACCAATTCAAAAGTACGAGCTTAAGTGTAATTGTAAGTGTTCCTCGAGGGTAGGTTTAATTTCACTGCAAAAAAAGTTGATTCGTAAAAGTTCGAGATGTAAATTTGCGGTCGTTCCTTCTCCTATATAATTTTACACGCAAAAAATTCCCGGGAATTTCTATAAGAGGATACGAATTCACTAAAAATTACTCATCCTTAAGTATTTTATATTTTGGATCTCAGGGGAATCTTCTTCTTTTAGTTTGTATTTTTATTTTTGTTTCATCATTATTAAGTGCATATGAAAATGGAGAGTTTGAGCGATGTTTATGCAGTATTTGCCTCAGTCTCAAGTAACTGATGTAGACATTACTCTTGAAAGCAATGACATGCTCTCTCATTGCAGCTCTACTAATTTACTTTGAAGGATTCGTCTGTGTCTTTGATGTGCGTGAAAACTTGATTTTTACTGAGATTTTTTGAAGTAAAGCTCTCGTGAAAAACGACAGAGCATATATTTTAAGGGAATAAGTTCCAAAAACGTGACGTTTATCTACGTTAGTTCATTACGCCTTTTACCTTTTATCTACGAAGATAAAAATTATTCATTTACGTCACTGATTTCACCACCTCAAAAATGATTCTCACGTAATTGGGTATATGAAATACGATTTTTGTCTGATGGTCCTTAATTATTATTAAATGCCTATGAATTCAACGGGTGAATACCAACTTAAGTTTAAGGGAAATGGGTCTCTCGCGAAAGTAGAATCTCTTTAAAAAATTTAAAAAAAAAAAAAAATTTGTCCTCTTCTTTATTTTTAAACTACGACTTCATTTCGCTCGGTCGCATCGATGAGTTGAGAATTTTTAAGAGGAAAATGTTGGATAAGGACACATGGTTTTATAGAACTTAAAGTTAAAGTTTACGGAAAATAGTTAAACGGATGAGTAATGAAAAAACTGAAGATTGAATAGTGCGTTTGCTAAATTTGGGAATAACTTGATTTAAAGCTTTATCAGAACACGGTGCATGGCTCAACCGTTCTACTCAAAATGTAGAGAAGTACAATCGCTCCCATTGGGAAAATTACTCATTTTTTAAACTTGCCACCTATGTGAGACGAGCATTATCAGCTTCACATACATCGAGGTCCCGAATAATGAAAATCTAATCGGCGTCAAGTTAGAATCGTGAAAATTAGTGTGTGGGTAAGGTGCTCCCTATAATCGAAAGAGAGGAAACGGTTCCATGAGAAAAAAAAATAATAAATAAGGCCGTTTCGAAGGGCTTTCCTAGGATCAGCTCTTGCGCGGTAGTTTGTTTTCTTTTCTGAGAAGGTATGGCAATGGTCCAAAAACAATGTACCAACGTTTCCATAGTCCGTCGGAAAATGGTGTGCGGCTGTCAATAAGCACCTCTTATCTTACATGTGTTCGCTAATGACTCACTGATCATACTGGCTGGAGACAGGACATCACAAACATTCTCAAGTCACCGAATACTATCCATGCAGAGAATGGCGGCTAATTGGAAAATTTTACCTTTATCTCAACCGCGATAAGACAGTCATTTTGTTAATCATCCGTTAAAACATCGAAATAGTGCTCTCCAGATTCCAACTCTTTTAACGCGTGCGCGGGTCCAATGTTTTTACATCAATAAAAGTCCGTCCAGTGAAATTTCGAGGTTGACATTTCATCATTGGCTAAATATCAGTGGAGGTGTATCAGAGTAACGTTACGGAATACGACGTGAGCGCTCAGGTGAATGAAAGAAATAAAGGCACAAATTCGGCCACTATATATTATACGGAAAGGTCCTATCACATTTCTTCATGCTCATCCAAGACAAAAATTGCACACAATGAAACGATATGTATAATTCGAATGAAAGGACAAGATTCCTTTGCTCTTCAAAATTTCACGCGAAACACTAGAAAAAATGTTGACAAAGGCTGTGGCTGATCAATGAATAAGAAATGACTGTTTAAGGTTTTTTTTTTCTTAATTAAAATCAGTTTATTCAACTCACTTACTTACCAAAAAATGCAAATTAACTTAGAGCAAATCAGCGAACAAAAGCGAAGTTGTCATTTTATAAATAACTAATGTTCGATTGTACAAAAATTCCCATCGTTACCTGATATACGGTATTTGTTAAATTTTCTACTGAATAAAGAAAGAAAGAAAAAAAAACTTTTTCTCTTTTTTTTGCAAGGAGCTAGGAAAGTGCCAGGGACTTTCAGAGCTAGATTATTCCAAAAAAGTTGAAGAATTTTTGAAATTTGTTAAACTTTGAAACCAGCTGTTGGTAGTGTTGGTGCGATTCGAGTGGCTCAGGAGCTGTATATAGTTGTATCACGCATTTTGGTTTAGCGTGATGCTCGAAGGACGAGTGACATTCGTTGTAATATTTGTGTTTTTAATCACCATCGCAGCGAAACATTCAATGAATTTTACTTCCTTCTTCCCGCAGAAAGGAGGGGTGGCGATTTGGGCCATTTCCGGCCCCACCTAATCCGGGACATTTTTTGCTGTGATTCGTTACGTATAAGTGTCAAGAGAAAGCATGCCAAGTTTCAGGCCGATCGGCCCAATATTCGGGGGGCGGGGGCCCCCCGAATTTTTAAGCGCAAAATCGGTTTTAATTTTGTAGCGCCGTCAATTTCGCTCGTATACAGATGAAAATTGGGTGTCAGGGATAAAATTTTGCGTTCTTTCTATTTCCACCGTCAAAATTGACACTGGGGCAAAATTAAGGGGGATTTTGGGGGGTTTTTCGCGTTTTTTCGCGTTTTTTACCAATTTTCTGCGGTTTTCATGCTTTAAATCAGAGATTTTGAGCCAAACGACCACAGATTTGATTTCTACGCAAAAAATTACATAGGAACACAATGACCAACTAACACTCAACGGCGGATTTCTCTAGGAAAAACTGACCCATAAGTATGTGTTCACTCAGAAATTTTGAAAATAGCCATTTTTCGGGTACAGCCCAAGCTTGTAGCACTACCATATTCACATATGATACGCTCTAGGTCGACCCTGTTGATATTATCGGGAACTTGAAATGCTACCCGCATGGGCGGAGGGTCGAATTCTCCTCAGAAACGAATAAAAAAGGCGATAAAATTACGTTTCACGTGAATTATTGTGAGCGGAATGTTATTATATCGGCAACTTTCACCTCTAACGTATGTAATTTTTTGCGTGCTTTCCATTTTTGCCATGAAAATTGGCATCAAAGTAATTCTAAGCGGGTTTTTTGGGGTTTTTTTATCATTTTTTAATCATTTTTTACCAGTTTTTTCCGGTCTTTTGCGGTTTTCGTGTTTGAAACCTCATGTGGCATATCAGTTCTGTGGTTTCTTGGTTTTTACCGACATCAAGAAAAAGAGCCCCGAAGATTGTCATCCTCTTATGGAGACTCCCTAGAGGATGCTGCTTACTTATGGTCTGACGAGGATTCAGAATGAGAGATAAGGATTTTACACAACATTTCTTCTGCTATACGATTCATCCGTGACGTATTTTATGGATGTGATAGTAAAAGTATTTTGAGAAAAATTAAAATTTGTGGTCGTTTGGCTCATTTGGTGAGGTTTCAAACATGAAAACCGCAAAAGACCGGAAAAAACTGGTAAAAAATGATTAAAAAATGATAAAAAAACCTCCAAAAACCCGCTTAAAATTGCTTTGATGCCAATTTTCATGGCAAGAAATGGAAAGCACGCAAAAAATTACATACGTTAGAGGTGAAAGTTGCCGATATAATAACATTCCGCTCACAATAATTCACGTGAAACGTAATTTTATCGCCTTTTTTATTCGTTTCTGAGGAGAATTCGACCCTCCGCCCAAGCGGGTAGCATTTCAAGTTCCCGATAATATCAACAGGGTCGACCTAGAGCGTATCATATGTGAATATGGTAGTGCTACAAGCTTGGGCTGTACCCGAAAAATGGCTATTTTCAAAATTTCTGAGTGAACACATACTTATGGGTCAGTTTTTCCTAGAGAAATCCGCCGTTGAGTGTTAGTTGGTCATTGTGTTCCTATGTAATTTTTTGCGTAGAAATCAAATCTGTGGTCGTTTGGCTCAAAATCTCTGATTTAAAGCATGAAAACCGCAGAAAATTGGTAAAAAACGCGAAAAAACGCGAAAAACCCCCCAAAATCCCCCTTAATTTTGCCCCAGTGTCAATTTTGACGGTGGAAATAGAAAGAACGCAAAATTTTATCCCTGACACCCAATTTTCATCTGTATACGAGCGAAATTGACGGCGCTACAAAATTAAAACCGATTTTGCGCTTAAAAATTCGGGGGGCCCCCGCCCCCCGAATATTGGGCCGATCGGCCTGAAACTTGGCATGCTTTCTCTTGACACTTATACGTAACGAATCACAGCAAAAAAGTCCCGGATTAGGTGGGGCCGGAAATGGCCCAAATCGCCACCCCTCCTTTTTCGATATTAATTTTGAGATAAGTTACAAAAACTAGCATGTTGCCTCGCTCCCATGCTTACTTCTAAATAACTAAAACGGGTGTGAAGAATCAAGGTCGCCTTCAAATCGATGGATGCAATTTAAGCGGCTTAGGAGTTGAATCACGCATTGGTGTATCACGCATTGGTTTAGCGTGATATCTAACGAGTGACCTTCATTGTAATCTTCGCGTTTTTAGTGACCATGGCAGCGAAATGTCTGGTAAATTTTACTCGATTCTCCCCGCAGGAAACAATTTTGATAGTGACATCGAGATAAGTTGTATAACATCTAGAATGTAACAATTAATGAAGCTGAATTTGTTAGAATCATGCAGTTTTGATTTGTTCATATTTATACATGAGCCGAGCTCTTGATTTCTTTTTCCAATTAAAATTCCATATAAAACAGGCTATTTCCTACACATTTCATGCTTAAAAATCCAAACTACCCATAAGGACGATTTTTCCCCCTTTTTCCCCAAAAGCACTGTGATTCGCACATGGAGAGGAGAACATAGGAGAAGGAGAGAGGTTTGTTTTGGAATTTGATTTAAATAATTATGATGAGGGGGGGATAATTTTGCCTAAGGTCCATCTAATTTCCGGTACGCCAGTCGCGATTCTTTTCTTGCTCAAGTCTTTTATTGACAAAACATACGTTATAATTTTGTCGCCGTTTTTTATGCGTTCGTCGAAAGGAAGAGAACTGAGTGCTGAGGAACACCAGCGAGATGATTTTTGAAATGAAAGCTATAGACAAAAAAGACAAAAGAATATGGAGGGATCCTATTGGTGGAAGCGGGTGGTTGCAATGGACGAGGTAGGTAGGTAATAGACAAACTAACGGCAGCCCGCGAGAAAACCTATAGTAAGTCCATCATTTTCCCCCTTGGTCTATCGAAACCACCCATTTCAACCAATAGGATCACTCCATACTTCCTATGTCTTTTTTTTTTCAATCACTTTGTCTATCAATTTCAACAATCACCCTGCAAGCAGGCGTATGAAGTATTATTTCTTAATTTTCGATAAAAGTTTCTCGTCACCTAGGTGCGTTGCGTAATCTAAAAAACGTAATTCTAAGGTCTCTTCATTTCATTCCAATGACTCGCAGATATCAAGCGCATCAGTCATCTCACACCTAATTTTCGTTCCCTTGAAACCCGTTAAAGTTATCTCAAAAGGCACGACTAAGTGCTGAAACAAGATGCGAAGATGAGAAAAAGGTCAAAGATCGAGTCAAGGGCCGTTTTCGAATTACGGCACACTCATCATGGCAGTTATCACACCGACCGTCTGATTTTTCCCTCTTTCATTCACCGACCTTTTTAACGCTCTCAGCAAAGATTTACCGAACACTTTCTTTGAACCCGGCAAAAAATATTGCTTGGTAAGTTGATTTTCGGTCTGGCTGACGAGATAGCTCAACTTGCGTAGGTAGCACTCTCGTGCACGCGCTGTGGATTTGCGATCCGAGACGGTTCCGCCGAATTTACTCCAATAATTCGCTAATTTTTCACTGCGACTTGCAGCAAAATATTTGAAGTTATATACAAAATTGCAACACTGACTTATAATGACCTGCCAAGTACGATAGGCCAATTGAAAAGGTCTGAATTGAAGAACTACATCATGTATTTTCGCATTGAAACACGTAGGAAAAAGCTAGATCGTCTCTGAAGCAAGGGGTGCACTTAGGCATTTTTATTCCCTCAACGTGAAAGGAAAAAAAAAAGAGAAAAAAATAGAAGAAAAACAATTTGGGCAACTTTAGCACACCGAAAGAAAGTATGATAATATTTACTGAAAGTCTATTTGATTTTTTACACAGCGATACTGTTTAGTGAAAATGAACAGAGCTATATAGTGGTATTCACGAGAACTCTGATGATACTTACCGTAATATCGTAAATACTACTATAAAGTAAGGTGTTTAATACCATACTCGGATCACTGTATCAGAGTGTGGTAAAATCTACCATATTTTTTCAGTGTATGCTATGCAGTCATAAAACTTTTGATTTGCCTCATCAACAGGTTGAAAAGGTCAAAAGTAACCCTAAAAGTATATATCAGGGGGGTCGCCAGGTCGCCTGGACATTAGACTCTTCTAGGCCATCAATCGTCTCATCTGTCACAACTTACAGCAATCATATGTCATGACAACTATGTCTTTTTAAAAATGATGAGATCAGTTGCGTTCTGGAACATTGTTCGAGAAAACTGTAACTCGATTACGATCTCAATAATTGGAAGTCTGAACATTAAAACGACGCGTGTCTAAGTACCACCCACCCACTCCTCCATCTGTAGATTGTGAACACAGTTTGGAGCAATAAAACGAGCTTGGTGTTGACAAACAAATGAGCTATTTTACTTTTTCCGGCAAAATGATGTTATGAAGTTGGTTGCATTGTTAGCTCTAATTGATATTATTGCAAACTCAATTTATGACTATTTATAATGGACATTTTGTTTCTATTAAATGCGCTTATGGAAGTGAATGAAAGGAAAGAACTTCCTCAACAAAGCTCATGATTCTCAAAAGAGAGGGAAAATGAGATTCCCGGAAGTCATGAAAATTTTAAATAACTTCACACTGGTTTTAACGCAAGATGGCAAAATCACCATCCCCATGTAAAAACGATTGTGCGTCTAAACTCAGCATTCCAACAATTAGTTGTTCACAATTGCTTCTTTAATTGTTTGGCTGGAATTGTATGAAGAGTCTTGAACCTTTCTTTAAAATGCTGTACAAGTGAAGGGATTCCGATGTATATAAAGAGATGTCATTAAGATTTGAGATCGAAAAAAATTCTTTGTATCGTCTCTAAATTTTGACGCAAAGCTTTATTAGAGCCATAAAAATATACATTGATTTAAAGGCCTGCTTAAATCGCAGCTTTTTTATTTATGCTAGAGAAAGAATTCTCTTGGATTATCAGAGTTCAGGTTCTCTAAGAAATTGACAAGAAAACATACTCTTGATTTAGTCAAATTTTATGCTTGAATCGAAAGCCAAAGCTTCTTAATTTGAGCAGATTTTCTTTTGATTGCGGCAAAAATCCAATTGAATGAAGAACACTTTCCTGTCAAATTTTTTATAAGTCTTGACTCTGGACCCAAGAGACTTTTTTTACATGTATTATGTAGGGCCTGTTTTATGAATCGGCCGGTTTATGAATACCTATCTTCTTTTAAAATTTTACAGAGGGGAAAACAACTCTAACACTAGTGCCAGCAGCGTGTTCAAAAAAACGAGGTTGGATTTTATAATTTTTATCAAAGTTTGTAACTGACTGGTCCCGTTTTTTTTCCAGAAAATGAAGCTTATTTTTGTGGCAGCCTTCTTGCTTGGGACTGCTCTAGAGAGAGGAGTGACTGGTTCGGTGGCGCCGAAAAATGCAGATTGGTGGGAAAACACAGTATTCTACCAGATTTACCCTCGCTCGTTCAAAGACAGCGACGGAGATGGAATCGGCGATATCAAAGGTAATTCTTTAAAAAGCCTGCTTCAATGTTTTGCTTTAATTAATTACTTTAATCAGCAAGAGAATGAATAAATTTAATTAATTAGTTAGTTAGCAGTGCTTGCGTAGACGTCAAAAAAGTTATCATGCACCTTGGAAAAATTGCATTTTTATTTCGTAAATGTTTAGAGCGCCTCTCAAATTTTGAAGGAATAAAATGTTTTAAAATTTTTCGGTAAATGAGATATTCCTCAAAGGCTGGTAAAACACTCATTTTGCTACTAACAACTAAGTTTTTAGTTTTTGTGGACGACGGTTTGCGTCCGCCCCTTTTCCCTTGGATGGCCAAAATTTTTACCCTATTTAGGGTTGACTCTTTGGACCGCGTTAAACAGAAAGGAACCAAGCCACATCAGCTATTGGCAAATTTAATTGGACGAATTAATTTTTTACATGAAAACGGTTGGGCGGATTTTTGTGCAAACTTTAGTGAATTTTCTTCATATTACGACGCAAATTCCTTAAAATTTTCAAAGGAATCCGCGCAAACGTTCTCTCGTAAAAAATTGACTTGCCCAGTTAAATTTAGCAATAGCTGATGTGGCTTGGTTCCTTTCTGTTAAACGCGGTCCAATTTTTAAGCGACTTCTCGCGCCGAAAAATCAATTAAATCGGATTGATTTTCCGATGTCGATTAAAAATCGGTACCGATCGAGTTATTGAGAAAAAAATCGAAATTTCCTCCGTTAATGTGTCACATAAGGCCTAGGCTCTGTGAAACCCGAGTTTCATTTCAAGTCAAGTTTTAGTAGTAGCTTTTTGGTGCCGAACTTGGAATTTTAAGTGTTTGAAAATCGATTTTTTCTGAAATCGATTTCTTCCATTCAATTTTTTACCGATAATAAAATTGATTTCCCAAAATCGATTTATTTGAGAAAATCGCCATCCCTACCCTATATCAAGCATGTGCGGTGACACATCTTTTAGTATCTCATTCCTTATTCTTACTCTATCTCATGGTGCACGGTAGATTAACTAATGTCCGTCGTTTACACTGTCTGGTAGATAGAAGTATTCACCTGTATACAATTTTTCTATCCGCCTCGATCTTCGGCAGTCTTCTCTCTTCCCCCATAGCGCCATGCCAGCGCCGCGGCTCCACGCCAGTGCCTTTGTGTACGAGCTAATCTTATCAAGAGGTATTGTGCCGGTAACAAACACGCAGTCTACGATGCTGCGCAAATATCCTTAGATAAGGCGATCTACGACTGCTAATAAAATAAATTAATATTTATTTAAACCCCTGATTTTGGATGAAAGGCTTTCTTGCGAAGACATGTACAGAGACATGTAATTATCCTTAAAATAAAAACGAATTTACCTTAGCACGGTGTCTACTAAAACAGGCTGGCCAAAAAGTGGTACTCTTACGGTTACGGTACTTTTTCAGTACATTCCCAAGAAATGCAGTACCTGTTCAACAGAATAATTCAGTACTTTTTAGTGCCTACATTTGACGAAATTCAAAACATTTTGAAAATGTGAATGTCTCGCTCAAATTGCGACCAAAATTACAAAAATTCCGGACTTTCTTGCGGAATTTCTGCACTTCTTCAGTACTTCCGGACCACCCTTAAAAAATCAGTCCTTTCACCGGACTTTCCGAAAATTCCGGACTTGTAGGCACCCTGCGCAGGTTTCAGAAACACATTCTTCAAGGTTTCAAAGATCGAGAATCTGAAATAAAGGCGTCCACCTGTCCCCTTCATTTTGTTGGTGGTAACATTGGCGAGTCCTTCCATTTATGAGTAAATGGATACTAGTATCCATTGTATTGAAGCTCGGCTGTTCGATACAGTTTTGATTGATTTTTTTTTTCCTGGAACTCGAGGCACTTTTTTTTCAAGGTTGAAATATGTGTATAGGAGTTTTTCCAAAATCACATCGAAGTTGAGAATCACTAAATAATTTTAAAATACACTTTCCTCTTTCTTGAATAAGTGAGAGAATCAACCGTTCAAAACATGCCTCTTAATTATAACTAAAATCCACATTCATCCCTTCTATATACGATGAAATAAGAGAAGTCTGATTCAACCTTGCTAACCCTGACGTCAACCGTTATCGCTGACTATCAGAAAAATTTTAAAGCCAATGCGTGTATGTGATTAAAAATGGAAAAAATTAATGAGCGAAATGTATATGAGATATAGAATTTCTTGGACGAAGTATGATTAAAATGATTACGAGGGAGAGTTTCAAAGCTATATCCGCAGAAACGAGAAATATTCACAGGGTGTGCCAAAAGTCTTGTTATCAACTCTCGTATGAGCAGGCTAATGCAACCAGCGATACTGTTATAGCTAGATTTCAACGCCTATTTTTGCATTCAAAATATCGTTTCTCGACTCGGCCTTTTTGACAAGAGAAAATTTGGAGCTTGTTACGCCCAAATCGACTCCTTACTCGTTTTTTTCCATATTGTGACTTCAGTTTAAATCAAGTGAAAGTCGTAAAGTACTGTCGACTCTAATGAGATCAGATTTTTTTTTAAATATATGAGCAATGGAAGAAGCCATCGCAAGTGAGTGAAAAAAATTGTTTTTTTTAAAAACTTTTTATCTACGCGAAAACTTGTGCGGTAATTAGCTCCCTAATTTTATATTAATGATATATCTACATGAAACTATATACACTGGAGAAAAACATATTGAATCTAGAGTCCAGACTCTTAAAAACATCAACAAGAAAAAATACTCTTGATTCAATCAGATTTAAGCTTAAATCGAGAACCAAGCCTCTTAGTTTGAGCGGATTTCCTTTTGATTTAAGCTTAAATCTGCTTGAATCAAGAGTCCTTTTTCTTGTCAATGTTTTCAAGAGTCTGGACCCTCGATCCAATGTTTTTTTTCCAGTGTACATTGTAATATATATTGTAATTATCCTTTAATCCAGAAAAATTGTGATCCAGTAGTAAGCGGATCAACCGCCGAGAGAGAGAAAGTACACTATCAAGGGCCCAAACTCCGTGCTGAGTGCGAAAGTGCACTAAAGTGAGAAATGGGTGAAGGTCAAGACCTCGCGACTACTTTCCGCAGGTCACGGTGGAGACAATCGCGCTGGATTCTTCCGTGATAAAAGTTGACAAGATACGATATCGAACCGGGCGTAAGATGCGCTGTTGCGTGGCGATTGCGATATTACCTCAGAGAAGAATTGCACGTTAAAGCAAAACTGAAATTGTAATCATTGCAGCGACCTTGCAATGTGTATCGAAAATAATGCGTTACTTGCGAGGTTTCAATGTGATATTTTCTGTTAGTTTTTCCCCAGATTATTTTTATGGCACAGTGAATTAGAGGTTTATGGAAAGAGTATGGATCAGTGTTCTGCCTTCCCCGGGCGCCATGCGCCAAATGCGCCTAAAAATCGGGCCTTGGCGCTTAAAAATAGGGAGGACTGGGCCATCGTGGCGCCTAAAAAATTTGACCAATTGAACTCACAATCGGGATGGCCCGTATACAAAAATTTCATTTGACTCCTAAAATATAGTAGATGGCTCCTACAAATTGGGCTTTCCGGCCAAGGTGGCTCCTAAAATTTTAAGGGGAAGACAGAACACTGGTATGGACACTAGGTCTCATTGAGACCTTTGGGCTGAAAAAAATGATGGGATGTTGGATGGCGGCAACTTTTTGTGGGCACAAGTGAGAAGAGGCTTTTGCTAACCTTTGACGTTTATCATCTGCCAAACTTCTTACCAGCCGTGCGATAACAGAGATTCAAATTCCTTTTTCTTCAAATGTAAAGCACAAAATTGGTCATAAGACTGAGTAACTAAGTCTAACTGTGTAATTTGAGTATACTGAGAAAAAATTTTTAGTTCATTACTCCCAAACAAAATTTTGATCAGCGCGCTGTACTGACCTTTACATTGCGGAGGCCTAGAATAATTTGCATCCCTGTCACGCCTTCTCGCTCACCAAAAACCTGAGTCAGTCTACTCGAGTCGAATCGATCACTAATTTCATTTCGGTATACTTTTCAATTAAAGAATTTCTCTACGTGCTGATTTTTTTTCGGACCAAATTGGAGGATGTATTGTGTTAGAGGAAGAATTAATTGTTCGTAAAAACTATGCACCAGTTATTTGCCTAATTTGTGGGTTGTTTTTCGATGGATGATTCAACCCACGGCGCGTACGGTTTTTTTGACGAGCAGAGAGTTTTATGTTAACAAGTATTAATTTTTCTCATATTCTTTGATTTTGGAATTTCTCAATATATCCAACATTTTCAACGAGAAAATTTGACGAGGACACATGCTTTCTAGGCGTCTAATTCTTACTAATCTCCATCAAAACCAAATCACCGAAATGCGTCCAAATTACAAAGCAATCGTTGGTTGGTTGGTAGATTCGTTTATTTAAAGGTGTTTTTAACATCTGGGTTCCTATTAATTCAAAATACAGAAAGTGAGATCCTAATTTAGAGCTATGAGAGCTGATCGGAGTAAAAAAAATGTTAGATTGATAAGAGACGGCGAATACATGTTCCCTTCCAAAATGGAGAGAATGTCAATGGGGATCGGCTTCTTCCCTATGATCGAAATTTTCAAATTAAAGGGCTTCGAGTTAGTGTACGTGAGTGGGTACCTAATTTTAAAACCATAAAGAATATTACCATTCAGAACTGAGTACTTCGAAAGACATCCTTAATTGAAAACATTTCGAATCCTTCAGTGCTTACGTTGACAAATAAAGTGGAATTAAAATATAGCGGCTGAAACTCAAACTAACCTCTACAAAGCTACAGGTACCTAGCTTATTTCTAATGCTGAGTGCATCACATGTACACGATTTTGGTGACCTCTTTTTTTACAAATCAACATAATTTCAGATCCAGCATCAATTTATTATTATTTTATCCAGCTACATTAAATTACCAGACAGGAGTGCAAAATTTAATCAAATTTCAACTGTTATTTTAACAAGATCGGAGCCTTTCAAAAAAGAATATTTCCCAGCCGTAAGTCGAACTCGGTGAGATTCAGGGCTGCCTGACAGCTTTTAGTCACTGGATCACAGAGGCTAACGTCCTTGATTTATTATCATTTCAGGGGTAGCGGAGAAGGTAGAATACCTTAAAGACCTCGGGATCGGAGCTGTCTGGCTGTCCCCAGTTTTCAAGTCGCCCATGGTGGACTTCGGATACGATATCTCTGACTACAGAGATATCTCCCCCATATTCGGCACCATGGCTGATTTTGACGCCTTGGCAGCTAGACTCAAACAAGCCGGTAAGATTCCAACGGAAATTCAATCATTAAACAAACACACTGGAGGAAGAATAAAGCACAATGTTGAAGTCTATGATAAGGGTCATTACCCTCTCTTCATTTAAAAAACGTAATGAAATAATGCACAAAGTAGTCCACCAAATTTGGGAAAGCAGGGGGGTTGCTGAAAACATTCACCCAGAAAAATGTGTAGTTGTAACATACTAGAATCTGGTGTGTTGCAATATTGTGAGCCAAAATATTGTGTGTGATCATCAAACCCCCCCTCCCCTCCCCGTTGACCCTTCATACGCACGGGGAAAAGAATGTTTGTGGCTATTACACTCCTAGTAAATAGGTATGATTCCCAGGAAATCTAGTAGTCATTACTTCCATATTCCTCATAAAAGTGATTGTCATCCGACTGGAAGACATGATCATATGCATGATTAACACTGATAGAAATCTACCATTGAGTAGTAAATTTTATGGGATTCATGCACAGTAAGAAGTCAAGTTTCCACTAACATTCTCTCTTATTCGTGAACGGCTAAGAGCACGAGCTAATCGCCTTCTGTCGCACCTTTATTGGGCTTGCAATCCCATGGCGCACAGGATCCTCCCAGTGAATCCATTTTTCTCAATGTATAGAGAGACCTCCAATTAAATTGCAGAATATAGAAACGCACGGTAACTCTTTAATTGTTTTACGAGTAGATCATTTTCAATACTCTTAACCCCAATGCCTGCGAAAGTAAAATTGATTTTCGTCCTCTCTCTGAATCATGAATCTTCCTGGAAAAATTATTCTCACAAATGAAAACAAGGAAAAACAAACGCGAGGACAAGGGTTTGACAATAAACATTAAAGTGAGTTGAACTGACATTCATATAGAAGTACGTCAATTAAAGAATGAGACTTAAGATAGTAAATAGGCTCTTAATTGCGTTGAGCTTGACTCGCCTTTGTTTTTCGTAAACAAGCCATTCACGATAAGGGTACCTAAGTGTATTATTGAAAAGGAATCTTGGTTACCTACTGAGTCGAATGACCCCGAAGGCAGGGTCATTAGTTCTTTATGGGAAAACCCAGTCACATGAGCTTGATAAGTAATCTATGTAAAAAGGAGATAACTTTAAATGAGTAGGTAGTCAAATAAAACAGTCAAAAACTCGGTGCTCACCGGGAAAATTAAAGCTCATTTCTCAGCTTTATTTAAATATTTTTTAAGCTCCAAATCTGGGAAATTAATATTTCCGCTGTACTTTTCGACGAGGAAAATATGTAGTACATGAGAAGTATTTAATATAAGTCAACGAGGTTGAAAAGGTATTCAAATCATTTTGAAATTCATGCAAATTCTACTAGATTTTTGTTTAGAAATAATTATAAAAATCTTGTAATCGTGAGCAAGCGATTTATTCAAACCAGTCAGGAATGTGGAAAAAGCAACAGGACTTAATATGGACCACATTTTGCATTAAAAAATCACTATTTCTGGCTCATTTTAGAAACAGCGTATGTGTCATTGATTTCCGTATGCAGAACGGCACTTTTATGGAAGGGCCAGAGATAGCGATTCCTTATTGCAAATGTAATCCAATCTCCTCCTTACTTAACAAATTTGGAACTCCAACAGAAATTTAGTCTCTGAGAGAATATATATTTGTGATCGTATGAGAGGTGTTCGTGTTCAGTCAAAGAATCAATATTTACCTCATTCACTTTTTCAAATAAAAACATTAAGGGTCGTTGCCCCTTCGCCAACTTTCCACTTCCTAACAGTAGTCACCAAGAAGTCCAGGGATAATAGCCGCATTGAATTTTTGTATTAACATGACTGCAGATTCTAAAAAAAATTGACGCACTGTGGTTTCCTGAAGATGGAAGTTTAAAGTTTTCTGCACGTTAGAACAATATCGTTGCAACGAGTTTCGCGCAATAACTAGGTTAAACAATATCGTGTGTGGGAGAGAGGGGCCAAGTATGAACTTGATTAAATATTTATCAACGTAAATAGAGGGCAATGTTAAGAGCGCGATTGAAAAATAAAGCGTCATGACATTGAACGCAGTGTCTAAATCTTTTGATGATTATAGATAAACTAATTGGTAGATTTATCAATTGACAGGGTTGAAACTCATCGTAGACTTTGTGCCAAACCATTCGAGCGATCAGCACGAATGGTTTCAAAAGTCTATCAGCAAGGAGGACCCTTACACTGACTACTACGTCTGGCATGATGGCAAAATAAATGAAAATGGAACCAGAGTACCTCCCTCTAACTGGGTGAGTAAGGTGTTTTATTTAGTTGGTTTCAATTTAGTGTTCAATTAAGTTCATTTTTTTGGAGCGATGTAAATGTTAATTCTAGTTGATAGCAAAAAAAAAAAAAAAAAAAAAAAAAAAAAATTAAAAAAATTTCGGAAGAAATTTTCCGTTTTATTAAAGTTAACAATTATTAAATTCAAAATCACTGTGCATTAATGGTTAAATCATTATAAAAATTATTATTATAGTTATTTAAATATTTAAAGTTTATCAAGGCAGTTAAAATGATGAAGTCTACAACGTGATAAATTTAACTATTAGTAATATTTTATTTTTATACGGTGCCTACTTTCAAAATGGACTGATGTAGAAATTAAATGCATGCAACCACTAGATACCTCTAAAAAATTCCGGAGAATTTCTGTAATTTCTCTTGTCACGTCACAGGAAGTCATTTTCCTAGATTTTCTTGGCGAATAAAATTTGAATTTGGTTTGTGTATAGGTTTCAAACTTTGGAGGATCTGCTTGGACTTGGAATGAAAATCGTCAACAGTATTATCTCCATCAGTTCGGCTGGCAACAACCTGACTTGAACTTCAGGAACCCTAATGTCGTCAGAGAAATGAAGGTAGGTCAGCTAAACACCACACTACAAGACCAGCGGGATGTATATCAGAATATACCTGCCACTACTTATTCGAAACCTAAGGGGTGCTTCTCATGCTTTCCTCTTACGAAGGAAGTTATTCCTTCAATATTAAGCTCATGAATCTTAAATTACTTGAAAAACATTTGCACCCATGTAAAGAATCTTTGTTTTTACATTATTAAAAAATATTCCTGTCTGAAATATTTTAACATGTCGAGAGACTCCCTGAGAATATTTTGAAAGTTCTCAATGCAGGCAATATACATTTTTAATCTCGAAAAGTGAAGAATGAAAAGGAAATTGGAAAATTCCTGTGAAAGCTGACGATTCACATGTTGAAAGGATTTAACTGCTTCGAAGAAGCATGATAAAACAAATTAATATGATGAGCTCCTGAAGAATTCCCTTGAAAAATTCCTGAAAAATTCTTGGGGTGTTGCCCTTATTTTTTCTTAAGAGTAGGTTCATAAAATACTTTAAATTTTAGATCATACTCAGAGGAACTGTAAAGGCTTAATCATCACGAATTTAAGCGAAATTAAAACATATTTAAGGTGATAGAGACTTTGAAAATTTAAAGAAGGTATACTTCAAAACAATCATCAAATTAAAGTCGCATTGTGACTACATATATTCCGTATGAATTTACATAGGTACAAATAATTTGACGCAGAGTTTTTTTTATAAGTTACAATTTTTCATAGTCTTAAAATTGCCCTCGTGTTCAAATTTTAGCCACCAACTGAACCGAGTACATCAAAAGATGCACTATATATCATATATTTCACTATTTGATCGATGTAATTAAAAGTATACCAACGGGAAACTTTCTCCTACCTATCTGTCGAGGCGCCAAAAAAACTCAAACAAAGCAGTTATCACGAGCTACAACAGAGCTGAAAAAGGTTATCACCGAAGCCAGCCGTCAGTACTATGATTATCAATACAAGCAAAGTCCTTTTACTAAGGTCATTTTACTTCCGAGAATCAGTCAACCAAGAACCGACGAACTGCACTCTTCTGCTCATCGTAGGAAAACATGCGGGAGGGGACACTGATCACAACGCAAATGCGATGCCAACCTCTCATTAAGACTCAAACAAATGTTGAAGGAAACAAAGAATCCTTATAGACTTAATTAAGAAATAAATGGAGCTTTAGAATTTGAACAGTGCGTATCAATCTTAACGCAAAAACATGAGGCCAAAATTCGAGCTGTGATTTCTAAATTTTAGCTTGTTGCAAATTTTATTAAGAAATGCTTCACGTAACACACAAAAAAATCCTGTAAAAAATGTCTACATTGAACAACTCACGAACTGGTACCTTCAAAGCAAATGTGAGGGCATTTGACATTTTGTTGATTACTCATGACTCTACAGAGGTATCGCATTTTATACATCGCACTGATAAGACCGTGGAACTCTTGTCATTCGTTATTTTACCCGGTGAGATTATTGATTCGATGTATGTATTATTTGATAAACCGACCGGCTGTAATCTCCAGGTACTTATTGTCAATATCAAACAATAATGTTTTGAATTCACTGAGATCCGGTTTAATATTGACACAGCCATGGAATTACACACTAATCATTTCAAACCGGAACCGTGAGCTTAAGTCAATAGACTTGGCTTTAAACTTCCCCTTGTTTAGTTATCATCGTGCTATTGTATTTATCGTGAGTCTACTCGTGTAGATGAAACGGGGAGGGGGAGGGTGTCTGTAGACCTGATCAAAGCTGATCTTCAATAAGATTTTGCGATTCTTATTCCGGAAGGAAGGGACTCGAGTTGAGGCAGATACTTTCTAGTGAATTTCTTTTTCATCTAGGCGCAGAGGCGGATCCAGCAATTTGGCAACACCGGATTACCTCCATTTAAACCTATGCTAAGTAATCGATTCTTGTCGGAGCACCTGGCTCCCCCTCCTCTCAAGAATCGATTCATTTCCATAGGTTTAAATGGAGATAAGACAATGTGCCTATTCGCTGGATCCGCCAATAACTACGAGAGGCGTTCAATAAGTAAGTATCCCCCCTCTCTAAAATCAATAGGAATAACGTACGTAGGAATACATAAATATACGGTAATAAATGGCAATACAGACCACCATTTATTCCCTTTTCTGAAATCTGAACTCGGGGGAGTTCATTTTGAATCAGTGGAAGAGGTCAAACAAGCCGTCAACACTTTCATCCCCAGCCAGTCGAAAGACTTCTGCACGCGTGGTATCCAAAAGCTGTTCTCTTAGTCTCACAATCAGTATCAGACCTGCTTGGATCGAGCTGGTTATGTGAAGAGGTGAGGTAAGCCCCCTATTTTACAAAAACTTCTTTGATTTTTTGTCAGTGATGAGCGACTGAAGTGTTGGCGGAGAAGCTCTTCTCTTGTCGCGGACTTCAAATTTCCGCGGATTCGGCGGGAGCGGCGTGCACCTCGGCGCGTTCAAACGGCTCGCGTTCGGCCGCACATGGTTCGATTTTGTTGCGGTTTGTTTGGTTGAACTCATTGTCAGTATATCCTAAGAAAGATTTTGAGCCCAAGTTTTTAAAAATTGGTTTATTCCTATTGATTTTAGAGAGGGGGGATACTTACTTATTGAACGCCCCTCGTAGGCGGGGACGGGACGCGGTTCTGATCGCAAAAAAGCGCCTTCAGCTACCCAGCTATGCGAAACGCCCGACATGGTAACACGAATAGTCGCACTGCTGTTATGATAGACTTGAGACACTTCGCTTGAATCGAACCTCAAAAGAATAACGGAACTAATGCGGCATGTGACGTTGGCTCCTTCCTATGAAATTCAAACGCCTAAATACAAAGCGAATCATTCCCGATTAATTTTCAAGACTTCGAATTAAATAAATTGTTTTTCAAGGAATAATATCTCCATCACCCAAACAAAATGGTCCAAAAAGCATTTTGTAACGGAAAAATCGCAGTATTTCGAGATTTAGTTGCGATTTTTCACGATTTTTTTGACGATAAAATCGGTACAAGACCATCATCAGCTCAACGATTATCCTTAATCGTGTAGGGATTTCATCTTAATTCAATCGCGTTCGATAAAATCGAAATTCTATCTCGATTTATCACGAATTTCAGTCCGATAATATCGAAATAAATGGCCGTCGATAAAATTGCGATTTTATTGCAAATTTATGCGATGGCATCGCAACTTATTGCAATTTTTCATCCAGGAATATTGCGATAAATCGATGTCAATAAAATCGCGAAATATTCTCCGATCAAATCGCAACTTATCGCGACCTCAGCTAGTTGGATCAAATCAACCATTAACTCGGTCTTCTCCCACCCCCAAGTAGCACAGGGCAACGAAAATATCGAAATTAAACTACAACTTTATTTCAATAAAATCGGAGTTTTTTTACCATTAAATTGCAGTATTATTACATCATTTAGTCGATTTATGCCAATTTTAAACAATCAACAAAATGAGCTCCATGTGCCATTAAGGTAGGCAATATGCAATGCAATGAAAAATTGCAACTTATTTCAATTCTATTGCAATAAATTTCACGAAATGGGGCCCCTTCAAATAGGAGCTAGGCAAAATACACAACACTCAGTGGAATTGCAATAATTTGACTATGTAATTGCTACTAACTGGAATCAGTGCTATTTGGGCCAAACAACGCATTGGTTCCCCTCTAAGTACATACATTCAAGTCGCTTTTACAGCGCGCCCGGGCGCTCTGCGACACCTAATCGCCATTCTTGTCTATCGATCCAAAGGTCATCTAGTATGCCACATATCCACGATTTTACTAGACGTCCCCTACGTCTCTCCCAGAAGGAACCCAGTCTAGTACCTCCAAAGTACTAAATAAAATTAAATTCGTCTGTTGCAGGATATCCTGAAATTCTGGATCGACAAAGGCGTGGATGGATTCCGGATGGACGCCGTGTCTCACATGTTCGAGGACCAAGAGCTCCGTGACGAATCGCCGAGAGCAGGAGTCGAGGAAACGGACACCCTTCCCGATGAGTTCACCTACCACGATCACATCTACATGCTCAACCAACCTGAGTCCTACGCCATGGTCCGCGAGTGGCGAGTCATGTTCGATGAACTTCGCCAGAAAGATGGAATCCAGAGGTACGACTGCACCACAGTTTCGCACAATTTCAGTTTCACACGATTTCAGTTCCGCAAAATTTTAAGTTCCGCACAATTTCAGTTCTGCACAATTTCAGTTCCGCGCAATTTCACTTCGTACCACACCTAACTTATATCCACCTAACTGTGTTCCATTTGATCAAATGTTAAAAAATTGTCGTCAAACTTTATTTGATTTGGTGGCAGAAAACGCAAGAAAGAAATGAAAGATTGGAATTTTCAGTGAAAAATTTCATGAAATTTCACGAGTCTGTGAAATACTTATCTAGAGTATGCAACCCGCACTCAAACACACAAAAATCGAAGAAATTCACAATTTTTTACATTTTGCGAAACATGAAAAGGAACCGATGATTTTACTATCTTTTATACATTTTTGAAATTTCATGAAATATTTCACGTGAAATTTTAGGATTTTATTTTTCCATGAAATACTACCCTGCGCATAAAACATTCAACCAATGCAATCCTCAAAGGGCAAAAGTACACATAGAGGAGATAAACAGAAAATATGCACTTGATAATGATTTTTATTTTTTTCAGGATTATTATGACAGAAATTCAACACAACTCAACGATTCAGAAAACAGTGGCATACTACGGAAACGAATCGTTTCCCTTAGCTCACGTCCCATTCAACTTCAAGTTGTTTCACCTAAACCGAGATTCGAACGCAAACGACTTCATCAACATGCACAAATTCTGGCTAGACAACATGCCAAAAGCGAAGGGAATGGTCGCCAACTGGATCGTAAGTTCAAGCATAAGTTTTCATCCCAAAATGAGTTTCATTATCTTATGACAGATAGATCTGAAAACGATTACCAGCTGTCATCTCATTGTCAGTGGAAATAAGCACTAGAGAAAATATTGCGCAAATATCTCGATTGAGACGTTTTTGTAGTATTATGGGAACATTTGCTAGCTACGCCTGATCCTTCCGTAAGTCACCCGCCAATTTATAGAATACAAAGTATTAAAAAAAAATTTGCCGCTAAAATTGAAAGAAAACATATTGGTCAGTAAAAGTTAGTCATTATTATCATCGATTAAAAACTAATCTTATGTAAATTTTTACAATTTAAGTATTTGCATATGCTTTGGACAAAATACCCGATGTTTTGCCATTTGCCTATGACACATATGTATTTCCGGTTCAATGTAACATATTGACAAATGATACTTACAGGGAAATGAGAGCGAAGAGTTTCCATCAATAATTCTTATTGCACGTTTATCATAAAATCTAATCCTACATTGCATTTTTCGCATAGATCTCTTCATTATTTCCCAGCTATACAATTAAAATTTTGATTTTATTGATTTTAAGTGCACAAATAGGACGAAGGTCGAGAATCCAGACCCCGAAAACACCTCGATTAAACTAATTTTACTCAATGGAAAAATAAAAATAATAATGAAAAAAAGTTTAGATTTTCCCGATTGCAGACCCCTCTATTTGAATAATGTCTGGTTGTGCTCAAATTCGGCACTGACATTTAGCACGTTATATATTTATGCTAATCCGTCATCAAAGTCTGGTTGCAGCCATTTCCGCTAAAATGTGAAACGTGACTTGAACATGGTTCAATATCGCAGCGCGCTAGCCCGAGAAAACTCGAATACGACGATCGAGCCATGTTTAAGGTTATCACGAAACAAGGGAGCATCAAGTAAAAGTCACGATGGTGCCGGCGTGATTAGGGACTCGACGAGGTGAGGGCGTTGCAAATTCGAGTGCCTCTCACAATCACATGATCGGTAGCAGTATTAAGTCCAATTGATAACGCCTTGCCTCGACACTTTTTTGAACGCGGATGAGTCACGAGGTGTACTGACCGAGGGCATTAGACTTTTGAGGCAAAGGCGCCTTTAAATTTCAAGTTACAATTCTTATTTAGAGTGAGAAGGATTGATGGGAGCTACCTCAAAATCAGTAGGTATCTGAAATATTATCCGCTGAGAAATGACAAAAGAAGGGCCCTTTGAGCGTTTCATTACGTCAAAACTTTATAAAGGAAAAAGTAAATTCTCCCGCTCTTCTCAAAGACATAATAAGACATCAATTTCGTGCGACTCGTGTGTGGGAATGTCCAAGCGAGTCGCGCTTGTTGCAGAACTCATAATTGAAGGGGAAAATTCATTGGAGATCCTCGACCAATTCTGTGATTTCAAGTTCATCCGAGGGATTTAGGGACTTAATGAACCACAAAATCTGTTTTTCGTTTTTTTCATTTTCTTATTGTGAAAGGGTTATTTTTTTCCTTTTTTTCAAACCCTAGAGTAAGTTTTTGGACATATTTGGTCTTAGTAGGCCCTGAAAATTTACGAGAGGTTTTTGCCTATCTCATAGTTGGATTGCATTTTGCAAAAAGGAACCACTAGCATTGCAATGTTGCTAAGATTGTGCAACTTCTTTTGTCTCTGAGGAAAAACCCGATTATCCATTAATAGTTTCTATTTTACTCGCTAAAAACTGTGAATTTAAGACAAAAATTACCATCTAAATTTCATAGTTTTCCACGATTTCCGCAATTTTATTGCAAAGAATGAAGTTGCACAATCTTAGCATCATTGCAATGCTAGTGGTTCCTTTTTGCAAAATGCAATCCAGTTGGTTTAATCAACCTTCTTGGAAGGATAAAAGGGAATGTAATTTGGATAAAATTTGACACGTCAATTTCCTCGACCGCATTTTGGACCCGAAAAATGTTATTGGGGGTTTTTGTAGTTTTTTTCAAATTACAAGTTTCTATCTGTTCACAGTGGGGTAATCATGATAACGAGAGACCAGCAAGCAGATTCTACAGGGAGCTGATTGATGGAATCAATATGCTAGGTTTATTGGTTCCTGGTGTGGCTATCGTCTACAACGGCGATGAAATTGGCATGACAGACACCTATATCCGATGGGACCAAACTATCGACCCGATGGCTTTCAAAGCCGGACCCACTAGATACCGTAAATGGTCACGAGATGGATGCAGAACTCCATTCCAATGGGATACATCAGTTTCAGCAGGTACGTAATCCCGTGCCACCTATTCAAGCGCGTTGGAAAATTTTATTTTTCCTCTCCTTTCTTGTACTTACAAAAAAAGTCATGTGATATAATTCTGACTTTCAATTGGTCAAAAAATTGTCACCTAGACCAACTAGAACATCTTTCACATTCAAAGGACCAGTAGACGAAAAAGAGCAGTTCTTGCTGAGAAAGAGAGAGAAACTAGGAGAAAAAATTAGAGAAATGTCACAACGAAGTAACTGCCTGATTTTACACCGAGGGCAAAGAAGGTGCGAACGCAACTTGAGCTGCTGAATGAATAAAAACCTAACTTATTTTATTTCTACACAAAAAATAAGAAATTACCAAATATTTTTGATGAAAATATCTCCTCCAGCAAAAACTAATTCATATATTGTTCAAAAATTATTAATCCGAAAAGGACGTCAAGTTAGAGGCGAACCCAAATATTTCAAAGTCATCAACTAAGTGACGCTTAGAAAATAAACTGTGCGAACTATGTCTCTTTAATATCGTTTTCCCCCTTTTTCCTCCAGGCTTCTCCACTCACTCCAAGACCCAACTTCCCGTGAATCCGAATTATTGGGTTTTAAATGCAAAACAACAAATGGAGGACCGCTATAGTAACCTCAAAGTTTTCAAGAAATTGGTGGAGCTCAAGAAAAAGCAAACTTTCAAGAAAGGAGATTATCAGTTCTATGCCTTGACTGACTGGCTCCTTGCATTCACCAGGTAAGAATGTTTAGTAATTTGGTCAATTATGTATATACAAGCAGAAAGAACCATCTCCAGCGTGCACCGTGATATGAGCCCTAAGAAGTCTAAAAAGTACATGCATAACAGGGCCCATGTCGCAATGGAGGCAGCTACTGATAATTTGAATATGTCCGATTATTTTTAAGGCGTAAGATTACCTTTAAGTCTCTGCACAGACAGAGGAAGTAATTAACCGAGATTGCTGTTACTCACAATTAAAGTAAAAAGCGAACTCTATGGATGCAAAATGTGTTGGATTCGTCTCGTCTTTTTTCTTGATCTCTCGTTTAAGTCTTTCGGTAACCTGTACTTAAATCGGTAATCTCTAACAGACTTTGGATCTTTTTAGTCGGCACATTGTTAAAGCCTCGCGTATAACATTCACCGACTTAGTTTTAGGAATTTTGAATATTTCTCTTTAAATTTTTCATAAAATTTTGTTTGGTATTTGATCTAAAATACCTGAAAATTTCAAGGGAAAATATAAGTATACATCTGCATCTCAAATATACATGTTTCATCATAGGGAAAATTTGGCAACTCTCGAATGTTCAAACAGCGTTTTTCCTTAGCACGGCAACAGTGCTTATGCATTGAATTTGAGGATCAAGTGAGCTGAATATATAAAAATATAATTTTTTAAAATGTTTCGTTATCGATCTTAAGATTGATCACGAAACATGCGGTGAAACCGCGCTCAGCACCAACTTTGCTTTGACTTCTGCCGGATGTGGTGGAGTGTAGGAAAACATGTCGCCTAGTAGAGAAGTATGTGCGAAAGTACAGGACGAATGTGCTGAGGACAAGTGCCGGCTGAGCCCAAGTGCGGAATGGAACGTTCAAGCAAAATCATCATCCGTCCCATGTGCTGAAGTCCATCTCCTGGTGCTCAGCGCGGTTTTGTTTTTCTCCGTGTTGTTGAATATTCTAAATGCCTGGTTTCATCAGTCGATTGCTTTATTTGTGTCTAATCACGTGCATCCAATCATAATGAAGCGTTAAGTTAAGCTTTAAAAAACTGCCTTTTCACATACACGAAGTGATGAGACTTTGCAAAACATGTAAAAGCATATTCCACTTGATGTTCTCTGAGTTCTTTGATTCGAAAGTGTTGTTATTTCAATTCACAGGAAATTGGATGGTTTTTCGACGTACGCAGTTGTCATAAACTTGGGTAGTGACCTCACCACGACGAAAGGTCTAGCAGAAGCGGCGGGACTTCCATCAAATCTCACTGTGATCGTGCCTAGCGTGAACTCAGGATTCGAGAGTGGGTATGTACAACAATAAAATCGTCCTGAAAATCAATGAACCAAACGATATAATCAAATTATCCTGAATTAAAAAAATTCCATTCAGTATCTAAAATAATATCTTGTCAACCCTTATGTTTCTCGCACTCTACATGAGAAGTAGGTGTACCTCCAAGAATATTGAATTGAAGTTACGATTTTACGCGATAAAACTTTAAAAAAAAAAAATTTCATCAGATGGCCGATGAATGCCAATTTTAAGAAAAATGAGTTCTACGTATCAGAAATATGAGTCATTTGCAATGCAAAGAAAAATCGCAACCACCTTAAATTCCACAGCAATACATTCTTAGGAGAGAAACGCCTGCAATTGCTGGATAGGCAACCTACGCAACACTCCGATGGTTATAAGAATCTTTGTCCAATGTTTTTGTGTCCAATTTTTTTTGGTCCATTATACATTTTTGTCCAGTAGTTAGTTTGGTCCAAAAGAAAATTTGTCCTACCTTTTTTAGTCCTCCTTATTACTTTGACCCATACATACTTATATGTCCAATGAGCAGATTTTATTTTTGTCCAATTGAATCAGTGAGAAAGGAAACACACAAACTCGAAAAATGAAAATAATCAAGACACACACAAAACTGCATATCAGGTGTAGAAGTTAATCTAAGAAAAATATTTTTGGCGCCTAAAAGCAAGTACTTAAGGAAAAGGGGTGTTACTGTTAGAAAAGGGGAAAATACTGAATAGGGGTGGTAATGTTAGAAAAGGGGAAAATACCTCTTATCTCAATAGTTGGGTTCAGGACGTTGGGGATTTGAATGCAGTTTTAAGTGGTAAGCAAGCGCTCTCAGATAGGTTTTGACTTCGCCCTCTCCTTTGTACTGCGCATACCGTTCAACTATGGCCTTCACTCTGTCCTGATTCGTGACGTAAGTTTTGTTGACCGGAGCCGAAATGTTGTGTCCTCCTCTTTTCTGGACTATATTTTGTTCAGTTTCCTCTTGGACGTCTCTGAGTTTTTCTATAAATTTCCAAACATTGGCGTGATACGTGCCCACGAGGCGATTAAACTTTGAATGGAAACCTTCGACAACGTTGTTTGTGCGGTGTCTGTTCTCTAAAACTAATGTGTAAGAATTCCATACACGTGGTGGGAAAAGTGGGGGCACTGCTCGTCGACGACCTCTTCCTCGCCTCCCTCGAACATAAGTGCGCTCGATGTACTCAGCAAACTCTAGGACATCTTCATGAATTTATTTATTCCTAATCACCATGGTAGCATATCCTCTTGTTAAAATTTAAGGTTAAATTTATATGTTGATATTTGCCTCACTCGTCACTAATTCATTCCTATTGTGCACTGTTCTTGGTCAAAAAGAAAAACTTTGTAAAAAGGACAAAAAAAAAAAGATTGGACCTACAACGCAGGGCCATTTTATGGATTGGACCGAAAAATGTAGGACCAAACTTATTGGACTAACTGGCACTGGACGAAATTTTTTGGACAAAAATTCGCTAGGACGAAAAAAATTGGACAAAAATTCCTGAAACCACTCCGATGCAGTAGAAACAATGTTACTGTGTAATCGCCATTAATTTCAACCTGTGCTATTTAAGTCATACGCAGTGTCAAAAATCAACTTTAATTAGGACTGAAATCGCTGAAATTAGAAAACTCAAACTTTCCTTACTTGATTTTTCTTATTACTATTTTACTTATTCTATTTTCAGCGATTCCAGTCTTAATCAAATGTATATTCCTTGTTTTTTTAGACTTGTTTTATCATGATTTGTAATTGATTCATACACGAATCCAAGGAGGAGGGGACGCATGTTTTCCCCGTTTGTCCGAAAAAGGAAGGATGAAAGAAAAAGAGGAAGAAAGAAAGAAATAAAGAAAGTAAAGAGGAAGACAGAAAAAGAATAAGAAAAAAAGAGTGAAAGAAAGAAAGAGAGAAAGAAAGGAAGAAAGAAAGTAGTAGTAAGGAAGGAAGGAGGGAAGAAAGAAGAAACGGAGGGAAGAGCAAGGAAGGACGCCTATATTTGCTAATTATTCATGAGGTAATTGACTCAGTCTAGATAATAGGTGCTTTGAAATTTGAAAAATTGTCTCGAGAAAAAGCCGCCCAGACCCGTTTTGTGTCTGGATCCGGCTATGAATGAATTTAACTTGAATCATCTGGCTCATCTATGACATTTATTTTCAACAGGCAAGTAGTGGAGACGGACAACGTTCTGCTGCGACCCAAGGCCTCGCTTGTCCTCTCGACGGGAGGCGGTCTGTCAACCCTCGGCGTCAAGAACAACCCTCACGTTGTCAACGTCCACAGCTCCCAACCCTGCGATCACGGACTCCGATCCAGTGGGCTCCGAGCTCAGGCGCGCTGGCCCTTATGACTAACCGTGGCCCTGGTGTTCCTCCAAGCCCTCGTCGCGAACACTAGGTGGCCTTAATAGACGAACCCGGACTCCCCGAAACTACAAAAATAAGGATAAACGGAAGTACAGAAAGCAAACGGCGTCGTTAAACGACACCTGGACTACATTTTGCAATTAGGAACTATAAATTCCGTCCCGTTTTAAAAAACAACGTATGTGCCATTAGTTTCCCAATGCTCATAAGTGTTTTTCAGATGAGCCAGAATTTATAGCTCCAAATTGCAAAATGCAGTCCAACTGAAGTAGAGCCCATCCACGGCGAGCAGGGTCATCGGCGCACAGAGGATCGAGTTTATGGAAAGGGTTGGACATGAAATTTTTAGATAAAATTTCAAATTTGTATGCTTATTTCGTCACAAATTCAATTCTAACGGGCGTCTCTGCGAGGAGATTCCACGAAACAACCAGTGGCAGCACTCTCGAACATTTTTCTTCCATAGTTCCGAAAATATAAGCTTTCAATGTTTCCAGATTTTGTCCAGCCCCTCCTTTTGACTCGTTTCAGTGTGCGGCGTGGCCAGAACAATTTTCTGGAGTTGACCTGGCCCCCTCTCTTCCAGGAGTAGTCCAAGTTTTCCCAGTGCTTGGGGTGGTTTCAAAGGCTCTCCCCAGGAATTTTTTTAAAAATTGATCTCTCTTATAGATGCATTTTGAGGCTACGCTATACCCTCACGCACAATTAAAACATTTGCGAACTTAAGATTCTTTACCAACAATCCTCGGCTCCTTTGTCTTAGATCATAATGTAATGAAGCGAGGAAATGTACTAGTTTTGAGGCTATTTGCCATTGTGCAGATTTTTTACAGGAGGCCAAATGATACCATTTCAAATTCTGGGGGAGCCAGGCCTATTCTGGCCCTTTCAGAGCTACGCTCACAAAAGTGGTCAAACTATCAGGGCCGTGACTTCGATGGCCAAAACGGCAGAACGCCTTTTTGTGGTGTACCATCTCTCCTCCTCCAATGGCTCAATCTTAAAGTGCAATTTGCCACCCTCTTTCAAGAAAACCCTCCCCGTCCACCTTTATAATCTTAATTACGGCCCAGCAAACTAATTTTTCCAACGTATTAACTCAATACCAGTCTCCATCGATAAAAATTATGGTTAATTTTCGAAGTGACTATTCAAATAGTATCAACTACTTGTAACCAGTAGTCTCGGTGCTTTAGCCGTACTAATAACTTAGAATGATTACCCTATATAGTCACAGCCACAACGAACATTTATGTTAAACTGTATGAACCTCAAACTTTTTTCAATGTCGGTTGGTTTTATCATGAGCACTAGTATCAAATTTTAGCCTTTTGACGTTATGCATTGACCTGTTTATTGACTATCAAATTGATTGTGATGTCTAATTGGTTCATTTCTTTTCAGCTTGACTCTTGCTGAACCAAAAGAAAAAACAGATACTTTTATCGACTTTACTCGACTGAAAGCCTTTGCAAAACTTCCTATAAAACATTGTAAAAGTGTTGTGGTTTTTACCCCTTATTTTAAGTATTGGCTCAGAGTTTAAGTGATTTTGTCAAGATACACTCGTTCCCAAATTTATGAAACATGCTATATTTATGAAAGGGCAAATTCGAGCTAATAGAAAATCTAGGACCATGCAGGACTTATGTCGACTTATGTTATGCGGTCTCTCGGTTATTTTGTTTTCTCTAAATATAAAAAAGAAAATCAAACAATTTACCATCTTCATCCAGGATTTTGTAGGTTTTAGTGTCATAGAAAAATTTAATGGAAGTCCCTGATTTTCGGTAAACTTTTGCCGATCAGGCACCGGTGTGAGGAAGAAGACTTCATGAATATAAAATAAAAAATAATATACCTCTCATCACACATTTCCTTAATTTTTTATTTATTTTTTATCTAAATTTATTTATAACTACGTAAACAAGTCAGTGAAATAGGGGATTTAGGATTAATGGTTAATATTAACTCAACTGTATTTTACCGTACAAAAACATGGGTTTTGCGTCGTTTGCTACGTAAGTAAAAACTCCAAAACGCGTTGAATTTATTCTATAACTTTTGGTGTTTCCCATGGTGAAAAATTCAGACCCTGATAACTATGTAAGAAGCGAAATAGTCCTTCTTTGATTATTTTATCGTAAATCTTCTTTTTTCTGATCTTATCGCGTATTTTTTTTTTTTCATTCATCTTTCCTTTTGTGGAAATGTGGAGTTTTCAAATAGTTGCACGAACTTTCCTCCCATTCTGTAAAAATGTGTAACTTTTTCTTGTAATTATTCCCCTTCCATTTCAATTGACTATAAGTCTCAGCTGTAGTCGATGTGAAAAACTTTAACTGATGGAACTTGAATTTGAAACTTTTAATCATCGAGTAGGATAGAGATATTAGACCCTAATTTCATTTAAGCTGATTTAGTAAGTTTTTAAACTGAAAAAGGTTCATCTGATTTTCGTTGGTCTCAACAATCTGATTTGGAAAGATCATTGGGAGGAAGAAAAAAATGGTTATTTTTTACGTGAGAACATTAATAATTGTAGCGTTGTTCTATTCCTCATTAGAACAAATTCGATTATTTCTACTTAAAAAAGACGTATTTTTAAAAGAAATTAAACCTACCTACCTAATTAAATTTACCTACTGTAAAATAATGTGGCCATTCAAGCCTGTATATGAACTTTACTGAGATATGTTATCAGAAAATAAAAAGTATAAGGAAATTAATATATATGTTTGAAAATCTACTTGTACCTCCTCAAAGAGAAAGGTCATGATTTTTAGGTCCTTACTTTGAAAGTTCTGTCATTAATTAAATGCCGTATATTAAGATGAAAATATTTGCCCTGTCTTATATCATGGGGCTCTTAATTATATTCATATATCATGTTCATTTTAATGAGTTTTTTTCCTGTAAAATTCATTGAAATTGAATGTGTAAGTGTACCATAATTAAAATAGATTGATTCATAACTGATCAATTGAACCTGGGTGAAATTTATTTTGTGTTTGATACGAATGCGTGTGTGTTTGTGTGAGTGTTTTTTTCTTACTCCATCTGCTTGTTTTATTTTTATTTCTTCATTGAGGTTTCAATTTACAAACCCTAATTTATTTAATTATTTATTCGCGTATTAATTAAATTGTAAATTTTCTGTGTATAATTTTAGTTGTTGTATATTTTTTCGTTTTATTAGTAGTTGTCTATTTTAAAGGGCGTCCTCGAAAAACATAATTTGTAAAGAACGTTACTTAGTTTAAGTGTAGGAACCTGAAAAATGTTCTATTCGTTTGAGCTAATGTTGTGTAAATAATTTTTTTCTTTCTTAAAACTTGTTTATTTTTTCATAATCGCTCCTTCTCTCATCAACAATTTCTCACGCTTAGAGGATGAAAGTTTAATTTGAGACAAAAATTGAGGCAAAAAAGTATCGATGATTGAACCAACAAATCACGAGCTCAAATCCTCCTTTCAAACAGTCAGCTCCCTGGTAAAAATTGGCTATAAGAGTTGCGTTTCAAAATACCATAGGATTTCTTATAGCCGACTGAAGAAGGCGATAGAAAATCATACAGCTGGCTGTAGAAAGTGGAAAAAATCTTACGGCCGGGCTACACGAAGCGATAAAAAATTATACAGCCGGGCTATATTTCCTATCAGCGAGCTTTACAATTTATCGCCTGGCTGTTGCTTTTTCGCCATCAGCTATAAAAGGCTATAAGAAATTGTGTAGAAATTCGTGTGCTTTGTAAATCCTTCAGTTTGTACGGAATCACCTTAATATTTACAAAACGCACATTATATTTTCCTTTACTACATATTTTTTTTTCATCAATTAAATGAGAATAATCCACATAGAGTGTGTAAACATTTCAAAGTCATGAGTTGAAAAACGCTGACTCCACGAGATTAAATATAAGAGCCTAACACAAAGCGAAGCGGCGGCGCACTGGCGCCTACAAACCTAACAGGGATACTTCACGCATTACGCAATGCGTGAAGTATCCCAGTTAGGTTTGTAGGCGCCAATGCGCGTTTCCCGCTGGCTGCCCGCCCGCCGCGCCGCGCCGCACTATGGTCCACAGACCCTATTTAACGGAACTTTAGTCAAATTTTGAGGGTGGAAAAAATTAAAGTTTGGCACTACAGTTTTATAATACATACTCTCATGGATCGTCACCTAAGTTTTCATCGACTAATAATGGTTTATAAGATTGTGACGGACCCTAACAACAGAGCGCGCGACAGGTCTTCATTAGCTGATTGTGAGCCGCATTCGGTGGTGCGTTACAGGGTGTTTATTTTACCGAGTTACGCCTCATCTGTGTAAATTTTTGGGCAACATGGATCCACCTGATGGCAAGTGACTTCCTTTTCACCCCGTTTCATTAATTTTGAACCGAAATTTGTACGCTTTTGAACGCTCCAAACATACGCCAAAAAATGCTAGAAATCAGTGAAATTCGTAATTTTTAGGAAGCTCCAATTTTTTTTTAATTCTAGTTAATGCTTTGCGGATTGAAAAATCTTGTTCAACATATCCTTAAGTTTAAAATGATGCCAATTTAAATTGCGCCTTTTTGCGCCTAACGGTCGAAATCAATTTTTTTCGGAGTGCACCTCCGTACATCAAAATGTGGAATATTCCATGCATTTTTGGCGTTTTTGCGACTGTTAAATTTTTTCTAGGTACAAAATAAAAGTATTCCGATATATTTTGATCTACTGAGTCCGGAAATGACCTTTGTATTTTCTTATCACCTCTCACTTTTCCGAAAAAGCGACTTTTTCCCGGAAAAATGAGCAATTTTGACGTAATTTTGTCATAATTGCAATTCATGTTGATAAATTATACTGGACCCGTGATAAAGAGATTCTGCCATGTATATTAAGCTGCTAAATCCGAATATGACATAGGTTTTGGTTTATCACCCTCCAGTTCTCCGATAATGCCGATTTTTCCGCGCCTTTTGGGTAAAACCTTTCCCTGACTCTAAGTGTGTTAAAAATACGGTTTAAAATTGATTTCGATGTTTGATATATCGATTCTTATGTATTTTGACTAGCTAAACCCAAATATGACCTTAGATTTTTCCTATCACCACTCATTATCCTGGAAAATTCACTTTTCCTCGGAGAACGAGCTTTTTTGGTATTTTTGCGACGATTTTCCGTAATCTGAGGAAAACGGGGGGTTGTAAGAGGCAAGTTGAGGTTGAACTCCTGTTGAATGTTTCTTAAGACGTCAGAGCAGACCTTAAGAGGAACTTGGAAAATCGCTACAACTCCATGGAATAGGAAAATTGGCGCAAAAATACCGAAAAAGCTCGTTTTCCGAGGAAAATTGAATTTTCCAGGATAATGAGGGGTGATAGGAAAAATCTAATGTCATATTTGGGTTTAGCAAGTCAAAATACATAAGAATCAATATATCAAACATAGAAATCAATTTTAAACCGTATTTTTAACACAAGAGTCCGGGAAAGGTTTTACTCAAAAGGCGCGGAAAAATCGGCATTATCGGAGAACTGGAGGGTGATAAACCAAAACCTATGTCATATTCAGATTTAGCAGCTTAATATACTTGACAGAATCGCTTTTCCACGGGTCCAGTATAATTTATCAACATGAATTGCAATTATGACAAAAATCAAACGTCAGATTTGCTCATTTTCCCGGGAAAAAGTCGCTTTTTCGGAAAAGTGAGAGGTGATAAGAAAAAACAAAGGTTATTTTCGGACTCAGTAGATCAAAATACATCGAAATAGTACTATTTGGTGCCTGGAAAAAATTTTACCTACATGTTGCAGAGGTCAACGGTCGCAAAAACACCAAAAATGTCCATTTTTCCGGGTATAATCGGATTTTCCGGAAAATTTAAGGGCGATGGACCAAGACGGAGGTCATATTCGGATTTACCGCCTGAAAATACATGAGAATTATCTGATCTCGACCGAGAGACACTTTTGTTATTATTTTCATACATGTCAAAATAGGGTGGAAAAAATCTTCAGTCTTTAAAGCGCCAGAAATCACATTTGAAGTTAAGTTTCTTGGTCAGGATGTTACTATTTTGTTAAACTAAGATGTAAAATGAAATCAGCGACCCAAAAAACATAAGATCCAACACCTTTTATAACGGTGCAGTGCATTTTCGAATAAAGTTCCGTTAAATCCAGTCTGTGGACCATAGTGCGCCGCAGCGTACTACGGCGCTTGAAGCAACTATTTCACACCAGAGGTATTGCACAGTATCATACGAAACTGAAGGCGCTCCAACATATTAGGAATGGCAGGCATCCTTCAAAAGTAAGGAGCTTTCCTCGCAAAATAAATTAAGATACTACGGCCCAAAAAGAGAGCGGTAGTCCATGCAAAACCCCACTAAGTCGTAGCATCCGTAATTAGTAACGTTTAGCATACATTTTATCGCCAGGCTGTTGCTTAATCGCCATCGGCTATAAAAGGCTATAAGAAATTGTGTTGCCGGCTATAGAAGCTATTGGAAATCTTACAGCCGGCTGTAGGTCTATGGTATTTTGGAACACAGATTCTACTGCCAATTTTTACCAGGGCTCAAATACAATGTTTCAAAGAAAGGAAGCCTTTGGCAGAACCTCTAACATTTGACGTATCACATTGCCGAAATTCGTAGGTACCCTGTTGCCTTGGCCAATGATTCGCCTTCAATTAGCCGGCTATGCAAAATGACTGTCTTGACGCACGAATAGTGGTATCAGAATTTTGCACTTAGATTATGGAGTGGGTTGAAGGCGCTCTTCTGTATCCTATGTGAGTGGCCTTGCACAATGATGTAGACCAAGAATTTTCAGAATTTTGGAGTCTTCAATCCAACCGCAATTTCGAAAATTGCCCGAAGAATAATATATTGATTAATAAATAACATTATTTTTTTCCCCTGTAAGTCTTATTTCAATAAAGAGAGCCCAAACGCTTGCTTCAGATTGTGGTTTTTAAGTCTTCTTGCTTTGGTCATCGTGTTCTCATGCAAAACTGAGAGAGTCGCCGTTTGCAAGATCACAACTTACTCGAAAACGGTTATGAATTCAATAAGTTTCGCACGGATAAAATGAGCTTTTGTAGATGAACTGTGAATAATCAAAAAAAAAAATTGAAGAAAAGGCACTTTGTCCACCGGTCCATTTGAATGGCGTGAAGCGTGGATGTCCTCCTGGTTTCTACGGGCACTATATATAACGTATACAAACTTTTACCTTGTTTTCACTGGGGGTATACATATCACTGGATGGTGATTGGCAACTGCCACACACGTATTTCGTTCGCGGTGTGTTCAAATCTCTACTCCCCTTTCCTTAATTTGACGGAGAGCAAATCGACATCAATCCTTGAAGTTTTCACAGAATTTTTTGTGCTTAGAGGGAAAAAAGAACGAAAGTTTGGAAGAATTGGCGTTGAGGATTTTGCCCTTTAAAAAATGAAGTATGACAGGAAGTCTGCAACCTCACAAACCGAGCACGTGGTTTGAAAGTTTCACCGCCGATAATCAGACAAGAGCATTCCAATGTCGCTAACCTTGCAAACATAAATGATCATCTAAACTAGTTTCACCTGTACTCCCAATAGGTAAACTATGAATTCAAGACGAAAATTACCGTCGCAAAGTTTACTTTTTGCGAAGAATGTACCTAAGTTGCACAATCCTAGCAACATTGAAATGCTCTTAGTTCCTTTTTGCAAAATGCGATCCAATTGGTTGTTGCTGCAAAAAAATAGTTTCCCACAACCTGCTATACAATGCTCCAGTGACCATGTAGGTTGGCCCAAGCACTAACTTTTCGGGAAGACAGCCTTTCCCCTCCCTGGTTTCTCACTTAATATCCGCCCGAGTTTCGCATATCTTCCGTTTCTCCTCATCGCAGCCTCCATCAAACCGCAATTGCCCGGAAACTGGGACCGCACATCTTATCTGATAAAATCGTTCGCCCTCTAGACCGATTCTGGGGGGTTAGGCTAGACTAGTCGATGAGTCGACTGTTGATCTAATTTCATCACGTGAACGTAGAAGAAAAACGGGGTAAAAAATCACTAATGTGTGATCAATTTTCAAGGACAATTCTGTAATTCCTCCTACGATTTTAAATAGATTAAAACGCGTAATATCCAAAATGTAAGCTCAGATTCGGATTCCTCGTGAAAAACTGATGCGATTTCATGCATCAAATTTTAGATTAGCGTGAAGGAAAGAGGTTTAATGACGTAAAAATCACTCATGTGTGATCAATTTTCAAGGACAATTCTGTAATTCCTCCTACGATTTTAAATAGATTAAAACGCGTAATATCCAAAATG